GAGATGGGGGAGATTGAGTGAGTTGGACCCTCCTCTTAGAGCTTCCCTGCTGGTGTAATGAAGAGAATCTGCTGTCAGACAAGGGGGCGGTGAAGACCCCATCGTTGGATTTAATGGGTTTTGCAGATTTTGGTCTTCACATTTCCCACACAGACTTTTACTTCTCAAATCCACTACTTACAACACACATACGGTACCTATGCTGGCCTGTTACTTTGGATTACAGTACTCATCAGTGAGAGCATCTTTCACTCGTTATGAATCTTCTTAAAGAACAGAGGTTTTCAGGTAGAAGGGCCCTTCAGAGGGCTGTTTAGAGATGGGTTCATGTGGGGCGGGGCGGTCGGCTCCGCTGGATCAACATGGGGTCAGGAGGACAAAGGCTGTGGGATTTATTGGTGACCCAGTAACCTCACACAAGACATCAAAGACTTCTCTATCACCACTTCCTCTCCTCTAATCGCACGGTCTCTCCAGGTCAATGCAGCGGCATTCAGCTTCGTTTGAATGATAATCCCAGATAGGCGCAGGCCAAGTGGGCGTTGTTCTGTACTGAAGACCCGATGGGGGTGTTTCAGTGGTAGAAGCAGTCGTCTTAAGTGTTACCAGCCCTATAGCACAGTTTCCCATTCATAGTTGTTAGAGGCATGGTGGCGTTATAGCTTTGGGCGTGGAAGTAGAGCGTTCATTCTTTGACTCTTGTGGTATTAGTGTGATCATGCTGAGCGTTGCCGTTCTTTCCTGTGCTTATAGTTGCTGCTTAATTTGAGCCCATACCTGTGCAGAAAGTGGCTCTGTGTATATGGTTGCTAACACAAACATGATGCTCTGGGTTGTTGTTCTTTTATGACGTGTCAGAAGTCAGCTGGAGCGTTTGACAGTGACAGGCATAGTTGTATGTTTGTCTGACTTTAAAACCAGACAAGTTTTAAAAAATGTGTCCTGATTTAGATCTCTCAGCAATGTTTTATTTGTATTTATTTATTTGTTGCTGTTTTTATGCAGTAAGTCTCATGAGTTACAGCATCTCTTTTACCAGAGAGACCTGTTGATTATGCGTCATTGTGTGGCTGACCAGGTTTCGGATGATTAAATGGCTGTTTTTGCTTGTTTTCACAGAACCGGCATACAACAGCAGTGCACCTACAGAGACGGAGTATCTGAGGAAGGTGTTGTTTGAATACATGATGGGACGGGAAACAAAAGTATGCCTTTTATTTTCTTGCATTATGATACTTTAAAAACGTGTGATTGTTTTATATGCTTCAATTTTCAGTTTTTTTAGTTCCTATTTACTAATATTACTGAATGTCAGATATTGAATATCTGTCTCTATCTTGGTTGGTTGACTGTGAAAACACCAGGAACTACATTAGCAATAAGTCAACGCTCAAGCGCTTGATGCTTCTTCAGGAAATGTTTAAATTCTGTTTTTCATGTTGCAGATGGTTAGCGTTTAGAACGTCGTATAAAAGTCACGGTGTGTCCAGTCTTCTTGGGTATAACAACCAGCGATATCTATGATTAACAGTGCTTGACATGGTCCTAAAGTCAGCGGGACTGTCCCAGCTCCTCGGCAAACAGTTAGTCTTTATGGCAGCATGGCAGACCACCCCGGCGTGGAGGATGTCCCCCCAGGCTGCCTGCTAGCATACACATCTTGCATGACGCAGATTTGCCATTTAAAGACATGCTGGCCTTGTTTAGTGTTGGGCGGTTAGGTTTCCTACACAGCGGCCCTGTTTCTGATTATCCCTCGTGTTTATGGGGAAAGGCATGCACCCTGGTAGATAGGCCTGGACTTGATTCTTTTTAAATGTTTGTTGGGCTTTAATTGTCAAAGAACAAGCTCCATTGTTACAGGTCATGGTGTCAAAGGTAGCTAGTCTCTTCTTTTCTTTTTTTTAATATCGTATTGTCAAGCTTATTTATTTATTCTTTGTTTGTTTGCTTGCTTGATCCTCATCCACAGACGATGGCCAAAGTGATTACCTCCATGCTGAAGTTTTCTCCAGACCAAGCGCAAAAGGTTTTGGACAAAGAAGACTCAAAAGCAGCTGTAAGCATCCGTTTACCTTATGAGGATACTTCCACTCACTAAAGTCCCCTCAGTCCTCTTGCCCTTAAACACACATGACATACAATTCTTCATCGCTGATTGGATGATTAATTGATTTCCTATCTGTACCTCCACAGCCTTGGTTACGCGTGTAAATGATTTGGGTATTTATGGATGAAGATCTGCTGCTGCTGAAGGGGAAGACTATCATGGATTTGATCAAGCCCTTCTTTCTGCGTTTCTTTTTATTTTATGTGTGTGTTGGTGTTTGTATATATGTGTGTTTGAGCACACAGGGGCATAAGCGTGGCGTGTGTGCTTGTGTGTGTGGTGAGGTATGCTTGAGTATAATCTAATGGTATGAGGGAATTAGAGAATATGCCAGAAACACAAATCTTCCATGAATCTACTTTTATTCTGAAATTAAGTTTGTTAATTTATACGTTTTAGATGAAGTGAAAGTGTTTTCTTTTTGTTTTAGAATATCTTTATACAGATTGGCTTGTGCAATAAATGATATAATGATCACTTATTACTGCTGAAGGGTCAGTTGATTTCTAGGTTTCTGTGTTGTGCTGTTGTCTGCATCACTTCCTCTGTTAAACGACCCTTTAACTGTGCACCCGCACCACATTAAGGTATACCTGTGGACCCTGTTTGTTTAACACAGCTTTTCTATGCTTTATATTTTGTCACTACACTGACATAGAGACACACAAACTGTAAATTGTACTATGATAATTAAGACTGTACTACAGGGCACTATATGACTTGCTATACATTTTCAGATTAACAAAATAAATCTTATTTACTGAACTCCTTTTGTCACTCCTGTATCTTTATTGCCATTCAGTATCTTAAGGTACGTGTTAAATCCAATAGCTTATCTCATTACCTGGTTTTAATTGTTTGGTCTGTCTGACAGAGGATAAACTATCATAACATCCTGTAGAAATGGACACGTGCATATTTTCATATGAAGGACACACAGGTGTTAGACCATTGAAACCCTCATTTAATGGGAATCAGAATAAACTTTATTGGTCAAGTGTGTTGACAAATACAGGGAAGTTGACTTGAAACTTTGAACATATATAGCCAGCCTGTTACAGGTCAGATTGTTAGTTTCTACTTATATTGGACCATTTTGCTAGATTATATATAGTGTGCTTAGCCATACATGTGACAATAAAATGATATGTACATGTTATTGCACAGTGTATATATTACAGTGTAATATCGGTTCAAACCTTAGAGCTCGGGACCCCCACAAGGCTTTGCAAAGATAAATTGAGGGGTTTGCCAGAAGATTAAGAAATGAGAGAAGCAGAAGCAAAAATATTTCCACCACACAATATTCAGACTCATTTAATCTTTGCCTTTTTATTGTAAATCTTGATAGTTTGTTTCGTGAGGACTGTAAAAGGTATTTAAATTAAACAAGGAAATTTAAATCGGTATTTGTTTGACCGGACACAACTGGTGATTGGGTTGCAAATAGACATTGCTTTTGCTTTAAAGGGACACCCGTCACACGTATTGGGAAGTACTGCTGTTATATATAATGTATTAAGATGATTTGTCTCCAGAAACCATATACGAGTGGGTTTTTATTTTGTAAAATTTTGCAACAAAAGCTCTCTTATTAGAAGCTTTGAATTCCTTATATTACAACCGTTTACTCATGTCTTTTTCTAATTGTGCTGACTTTAAAAAGGAATTGCAATATCCCTGGGGATTTTTGTGCCAATAAGTAAAATCAATAAACTTCTCATTGAAATGAAAGCTTTTAAAATATATACTAATGAGGGCGTTACACTGTTCATTGTTACTGGAAAACGTTAGATGGCAGCAGTGCGCTCTCATCGCTCAATTGAGGTAAGTGGAGTCCCCAAAGCCCACGGATGAAATGTGATGCTTCGCGCCTCAAAACCATCCGCGTCTCTCCATGACCGCGTTACCAGTGTCAGGGTACCAGAGTGAAAACACGCGTTCCGGTTTCACCTGTCACATTAAAACCCTCGCTGGCCTCCAAGACTTGTTTAAGCAGTTCGATCGGCGGTGATGCTTTTATTTTGACTAAAAGTTGGTTCATCCGGTCGTGTCCCGGCTACCCCTTGCTAACTTGACGCAAGTGACCGCATTTATCTCCACGGCCAGGGAGCCTGCGAGCAGCAACTTTCTCAAATTGACACAGAATGGAGAGAAGCTGACGCACCGTTATTTACCGGACCGTTAAACTTTCCTCCTGCTATCACAGCCTTCACGCTGCGTTAGACCAGGAAAGTATAACTGAAAGATATTTTTGTAACAGTTTGAGCACTGAGGAGCTGACAATTTCCCCTTATTATTTTTTCCCCCTTCTTCTTTTTGGACGCTTTAACCGCGTTATTACGCATGATGCGCCAAGAGATGGCTACTCCTCGGAGACACAAAACGGGAGTACAACATGTTTTTTATGCTTATCTCTCTATTTCAGTGGCTTATTCTTACAATATAGATCTAGAACATCCTTTGGTGTTTCGCGGACCAAATTCAAGTTTTTTTGGCTACTCTGTGCTGGAGCATTATCATGACAGCACACGCTGGTGAGTCCCATGTTTTACTGGAAATGTTGAAATATTCTGTCAATGATGCACGGAGTTTGTACTTTTGAAGCAAATGTTTGAGGGTCTCTAGAGCTCAGGCTGCATCCACATCCAATGCATGCAAAACAATCATTCTTACTATTCTCAATGAAACGCCATTTCTGTTGGCGCTGTGACTTTTTCTGCTTGCAAAAGATTTTCTTTTATTTCCAGGTTTTAGTGGCACATTTTAAAGACACTGTAAGGTGTTTGTCCCATCCTCTATCCTCTCCTCATTTCTGCAGGCTTATAGTAGGGGCTCCAAGGGCAAACTCAACCTACAGTAGCTCTGTGCACTCTCCTGGAGCTGTATATAAGTGTCGAGTTCACAGCAACCCAGAGCGCCGCTGCACAGAGATGGATCTGGGAAGAGGTCAGTCCCCACTGCCTGCAGCATAAATATGAGATCATTGACAAACTCTACTGCAACCTCAAGCCAACACATGCACCCTCAAACAATAGAAAAGTTCACTATCTGGTGGTACAGTCCACACACGCATTGAGCCTTCCTGCAGCTTTTTCTTCTCTTTGCCTAAACTCCCCCAAGCATCTGTTTTGTTTTATCAGAATAATGCGGCTTTATACTGCTCTTAACAGTGCGACATTTGTTCTTCTGGTTCTGAACTTGCTTTTTGGAGACATCCAAAAGACAAGAGGGCTCTGTGTGCAGAGGTCCATAAATATTTTTGATAAATATGATTTAGCTTCTACTAATATTTTCCAAGCATGTGAGCCAAACATTTGAGCTTCAAACCCCCCCCCCAAAGCCGGGGTGCAGGAGTAGCTTTAATATTAACTCTGTGCTCAGTCAGTGTGTCACCATAAAAAACATACATCATCACAGTGAGCGTGTGCTGCTTGGTGCTCAGTGAGCCACATGGACCAGAGGAGCTGAACTCTGACGGGCCTCTGGGAACACACAACACACACTGACACACTACATGCTACACAGCTGCATGCCATTGTGCTGAATCAGTTGTCTGCAGGAAGAAAGAGAATAAACTCGGGGAAGGGAAACAGTGATCTATTATGTCAGAGTGTGACTGTTAAAAAGTTGTCCCTGACATTTTGAAGTGTGATTTACTTTCTTTTGGCTTTATTCTTCTAACTATGCACATATGTATATAGCATTACAAAGCAGTATGCATCTTTGACTTGTTTAACACTCAAATATTAATATTGACAGCAACCTAAAAAATCACGTCTTTGGTCTCTTCCTTAATGTAATAACAGATTTTTTTCCTTTGAGTAAAATTGGCTGCTGACAGCTGTACAATCTATACAGCATTTAAACCCGTGTAAACATCCCACACACATTAAGCAGAAGTGAAGACTGAAACACAGAACGCAAAGAGCTGAAAATGGCTGACAAGTTAGCAAGTTATTTGCCCCAAGAAAACCTCCGTCCCGATGACTCAACGTCTGCAGAAACTGCTCTCGTTGTCTTTCAGGAAACAAGCCGAGAGAGTCGTGTGGGAAGACGTGCCAGGGAGACAGGGACGACGAGTGGATGGGGGTCAGCCTGGCCCGCCAGGACAGAGCCAATGGCAAAATACTGGTGAGTTCAGGGACGCACCGCGCACTCACCTCCCCAAATTGTTTAATGCGAACCATGTACACTCGTAAAAGCAGACCATATTAGACCGACATCATTGTTGCTGATGTCTTACCGTGAACCACACTGTTGAACCACAGCTGGTCTCAACATTACAACCCTCCTTAAATGAAAACGGCCTTTCCTTCCATTCTGTGTTACATGCTCACAAGCTTTGACTTGCATAAGTCAAAAATGAACTTCGAGTTTGTTTGCATATTCAAAGCTGGAGTAACAGCTGAAGTCAGACAGATTTGGAAACTGTTGAGTGGTTACATAATACTGTGAAACATCTACCTCGTGTTTGGGGCTGGATGAGTCAGTGGAACTGGGTTTGTCAAAAGTGGAATGTTGTTTATAACAAATGGGATAGGGATTTAGAGAAACTAAGACTGACTAGTGGTGCTAATCCCAGAGGTGCTCGGCTGGGTATTTGCACAGAGATCATAGGGCAGCTGGCAGAGTTTGTTTAGGCTTCAGTCCCTCTGCGGTGGTCCCGTCCAAGGGCAGCCTTTCATTAAACGTTAACCCCCAGTCCCCTGCGGTGGGTAGCGAGGGAACCAGCAGCCTTCCTGAACGGTTTGAAGGTCACTGGTGGGCCGGGCAGCTCTTGAAACACTCAAGACAGGTGTGTGTTTGAATACCTGTCGTTGATTGACCTCCTCCTACGGGAGCCAAGCAAATCACAATAATTCCTCCGCATACAGACGTCCAGATAACTGCTTGGCCTTTTAAACCTCTATTACTTTCAATATGTTTGTCTTTAGTCCATTTTTTTTATACCTCAGTGGAATGTATTGGCATGATTTTCAAACCATGACCCCAAAGTTCTTGGAGTTGTCAGTCTTTTGGTAACATGATGCTTGTAGCTGCACACTCTTTGGCCTTTCAGACGGGAATATGATAAAAGAAAGGTGACTTTCTGCCACGTGTTGCTGTGTTGCTTTTTTTTTTTTTTTTTATCTCATCTAAATGGACTCAGGTTTCTGTGCAACAGGAGGGAAATGGCTGCTTGGCAGATGTGTACAGTGGTGATTTCACCTGCGCTTTCAGTGAAGGCCTTGTTTGTGACCAGTGAACCCGAACAGGAACAAGACAACAGTACGGACTCCAACCATAAAAGCCTTCTTTGCTCCTTCGACAAAACAGTTGCTCCGAGAGCTCCTTCTGCTGTGTTTGTATCAGCTGATTGATCTTTTCTTTAGTTCATGCTGGTATTGCTGCTGCTGTTGTCCAAGCCGTCCTTTGAAACACAAGTGTTTCTCAACGCGGCATCTTCTGACGCTCTGTGTGTGCCCACAATCTGCCGAGCTCTTGTATTCATTTAGATTGGCTATATGTGTGCGTGGGAGTTGGGGGAGTTGGGGGGGGGGAGGAGTTAAACAGTGCGAGGGGAAATGAAGTGAACTTTGTCTGCACAGAGGCGTCCAGATCTGTCCCCAGAGCCACAGGAGCTCCACCACCATCCCCCCAGGGTGCTAAATTATTACCACATTTACACATTTATGTGGCCTGATTTGTGCCAGAGTTTGAAATCGAGTCTATATTATCCTGTTTGCTTATCGATCTGTGGAATGTTTTATTTTGAAAAACACAGCGGCAAAATATTGTTTTGAGAATTACTCACTGTCCGCTGTAGAAATGTACCCCGACTTTTCAGCAGCGGCATAATAAAGTGGGAGTTTGTTCTATGTCTTTTGATCCACTGTCTGAACTTTTGGCTTCTCCAGCTGCCTGCAAGGAGGAGCCTGTTTTTGAAATTACAACTTTTAAAAGACAAATGTCGAGGCGAAGATCTTCTTGCTGCATGTTAAATGATGCTTAGGAAACACAGATCTCACGCTGCAGATGAGATATTCACACCACAGACCATGGCTCTTACGGTCAGAGCTATGGATGGGCTTTACTACCCCCTCTTATTGACGATCATTTGACAGCCGCAGAGACACACTGACTCCAGCCCAGCGAGGAAGGGGCTTAAACAATCAGCGTGGCTGAAGGAACGCCTGCATGCAGTCTGAAGTGTTTGTGTTTACTGCATAAACATGTGTCTGAATTTGTTCTCCGTTCCTGCTTTTCTCTCGCAGGCCTGTGCTCACCGCTGGAAAAATGTCTACTACGACTCAGAGCACATCCTTCCACATGGATACTGCTCCATCATTCCTCCCACTCTCCAGGGCGGGACGAAGCCGCTCATCCCTTGCTATGAAGGTACAGTCAGCGCACACATTTGAACCCATATCAGCCTCTCACATTAGGCAGACGCAGACACTGGGAAAGATCAAATGCGTTGCTGGTTATGGGTTTAGTCCAGTGGCTCCCAACCCTTTCTGCCTCGTAACCCCTTAAATTTAAGCAAAGACCAAGGTTATGGCCTCAGTGTGGAGTTGTGAGCATCTAAAGTGTAATCTTCCGTCTTACATTGATTTTTAAAAGCCTGGAGATTTATTCCATAACAAAAAAAAGAATAAATTGGTCTGTTTATCCTTTTTCTGTGGTTACATTTTATCAGCACGTGATCTCTCTGACCTCTGATTGGTGTGATCTCTCTTCCTCAGCCCAACACAAGTACTTTGGCAAGAGCCAGCTTCTGCTATTGAGGGGTTTGTTAAGCCAAATATATGAGCATGTGTCCGGTGGAGATGGAGAGCTTGTATTCCCTACACACCTTTTTGCGAAAGAAAAACATTTTCTTAAAGGTTTAATTACGCCAACAATTTTCAAGCACAGAATTTTTGGCTTTTCTAGAAATCAGGTGCTTTTAAGGAAAGATTTGCTTGCAAGATAGAGAAAGCTCATTTTGTTATGATTGTAGTGAATCCAATCCATTTGTGCTGCAGGTAACTTTCTTCACGCACTGTCTACACTAAAAATCAAGTTCCATTAAAAAATGAAAGTACTGTATAAGCTGACTCATGCCAATGTGTTCTTAATATGTTTTGATATGTGACTCACAGCTATTTATCAAAGCCCGTTTTAAACCTTAATTGGTCTCCCAGGTCAGGATTTCACTTCCTTGTGTCTCTCGTTGCCGTCAGTTGTGGAGAAGCCAGGCACGCCGTGCATGGGACCGTATTGATATTGCATTTTGCACAGATCCAAGCTCAATATTTTTGTAACCTGAGAGCAGTGTGTCCCCCTTCCAAGTAAAAGGTCTTCTTGTTGAATGTGGTGTTGCACCCCTTCGCCCAGGCTGTGTTCTAGCCCCAGACTCCTCGTGGATAGGACTGGGACTTTGACTAGTTCCATATGGAATGCAGGAAAAACTCCAGTAAATGCTGGCTCAAGCACACAGTGAAATAATTTGTGGTTTGTTTTTTCTTACAGACTATAAGCAGAAGTATGGGGAAGAGCACGGCTCGTGCCAAGCCGGGATAGCGGGAGTTTTCACGGAGGTCAGTAACAGTCCTTGTTCGTCTTCTTAATCTGTATAATACTCTTGTTGTGTTCGTCGCTGGTTGTCATCCAAACTCTGTCGCCTGGACAATCATGGCACCTCATCGGTCAATTCACTGTTTGGTAAACTGAGCACGTCTTCAAATGCAATAACAAAATTTTGGCAAACCCCTCCCCGTGCTCTTGAAGCGCTGGAAGACGGCTTGTTCAATAACCTCTGACCTAGGTAACGAACGCACCCCCCACAATCTACATGCAAGACTGTCTTAGCCTGCTTAGGGAGGCGAAAACCAGGATAACTTAATACCACTGGCCACCGTCGTATCACTTATTTCAGGCTAAAAACGTCGGCCTTCCCGACTACTGGATATCAACGGATTTAGGTGTGTGTGTGTGTGTGTGTGTGTGTGTAATAGGTGTGGGAGGACTGGATGTACTCCAGGCTGAACCCGCTCTAAAGGGCCACCGCTGCAGGAGGAACCCCGTGTGGTTGGGAACCTCGCTCGGTTATTGAGGGCAGCTTCAGGACCCTGGCCCTAACACCCCTAATTTAGATACCAATCTAACCCCTATTGTTTCCTAATACACCTCAGCTAATGTCTAAACACTATCAACCAACACTGCAACATCACATATGATACATTAGCAGAGCTTCAATATCAATCGGAGCCAACCAAGTTAGTAAATCACGACAATGATGAACAACACCATCCTAACCTTAGCTTGTAACATGAATGTCATTCAGATCACATGTCTAGTACATGTGCTGCTGTCAGCCTATCCCAGGGGAAGAGCACTCTTCTCTTGAGGAGACTACGAGGGCCCCACCACAGATGAGCAACACTGGACTTTGGTTGGAATGCACAAAATACAAACCAGTTTTATTTGTTTTTTTACAAAAGGTTACAAAAATGAAATAATAGATCATACAAGATCTCAAATGTACCAAGTTCTCAAAAAGCTCAAAAGCACCCAAAAGCTCGTCCAGAAGCCCTAAGCCAAAAAAGTCCCCGATCCTTTCTTGTCTCCTCCTTCTTGTACCCTTCTCTTTTGCGCTTTCTGCAACCTCTGGGTCCATATAAGGTATACAACAGATCGTTCTTTAATCATTGGACAACACAGTTCTCATAGTCTTATCCCTTCTGACATACCTACTTTTTAAGTTTTAATGCTTCTCTGCTGTAACAATAGATCAATAGACAATAGAACTCATCATAGAAATAAAAATAAAAGGAGAAGTAGACAACTCTCATAAAATACAAATAGCAAGTTGAGATAGGGTTTCCTCTTTTACTAAAGGCCACAGGGGCCATCTTCCCTATATGCTATGTAGGTGTTAAATTATAATGCCAGATGCTCAAACCACAAGACGCTGCCTTAACTCTATTTGGGACCTGGCAGAGATACTTTTTGCACGTATTTGTTTAATCCATAATTTCAATAAATTGATTAATCAAATGTTGTATCAATTATTTTAATAGCAAATAGGGAGATAGGTTCTTAGGGTGTAGTGTGTCTCGGACATTCATGGTGGAAAACTCTTATTTATCTTATACTGTCTCTCATTTTCTCACTTAATTCCATGATATCCGTTAACATTATCACACATTTCAAAGACCTTTTTTTTGACTCTCTAGTAGGCTAGATAATTAGCAGAGACATTATACGTATATGTAACTGAGGGGGAAGTTTCACCCCAAATTGTTTTAGAAGTTAAATGATGTGGAACATTCTTCAGTCAGATATACAGTGCATGTGTACTTGTATCAAAGCAGCCAGCCCTCTGCTGACTAACTGCTGATAACTGTTAGCTTATGTTTCCATAGGAAGATACAGCAACCTCACCTGACCTGGTGTGGTTCCACAAGATAAAACTTGTATAAGAAAATACAAGTTTCCTTCACTCTATACTAGCATAGATGCTCAAGAGTTTTGTATCAACATATGACATCATCCTTGGGTTAACAATACATTTTTGTATCTTGCTTATCTGTAAGCCGTCTAGAAGCCGTCCGCAGTAAGCAGGACAAATAGATTTAACATGTAAATGCATTTGAGCAAAAAATATATATTCACAAAAATGTGCAAATGAGGAATACATTGAATTTTGAATTTGACCAGTTTAGACAGTTTGTTTGCTGTACGCTAGCAATATAAGTATTTCCTGATGTTGTCCGTGAGCGGCATGTTCTGCAAAGGACCTTTTCAAGTCTCGAATTACAGTTACGCTCAATTTGGCACATACAGTTAAGTACAGTGGACTGTAAGGGACTTAACAATGTGTCTTTGGAGCACAGCGGCGCCCTCAGGGTGAAACCATTCTTACTGGTGAGAAAGAGTCTGATGAAAATCTTATGTAATTAGATTTTTTTCTGTTTTAACTTTGTTAAATAACATTGTTTCAGCTTTCTAGTTAGACTGGCGCAAATCTCAAGCAACTCTACCAGAGCCCCAAACAACTTATCGATTAGTCAGTCAACAGAAAATTATTGTTTTGAACATTTATTAATCGTTGAGAAGTGAGAAACTCCAATCATTCTGTGGTTCGTTAAGGTGAGGCCTTGCTGCCTTTCTCGACTGTATATCATTGCAAACTGAATATCTTCAGGGTTTTGGACTGACGGACAAAACAAGACTTTTGAACCCTTGAGCTGTGGGAAACTAATGAACATTTTTTTCACTATTTTCTGACATTTAACGGACCCAAATGTTTTTCCTGTCACGGATACTAAAATGGGATCATTTCACATGACCTGCCTGCTAACTTTTCTTTGACTTGATGTGTTTCAAGAGCCTTTGAAAATGTTGTTCACGGCTATTATGAACACTTAAAGTAGTGTATGACATCATGTTTTAGGAATTTATTTCATGATTTTATGAGTAAACTCAGATAAAAAACACAACATTAAGTTGTTTTTTTGTGTGTGTGTGTCAGTTTTTTTTAGTCGGCATCATGTGAAAGCTTTAAATAACACTAAAAGCGAAACCTTATGGCTTTAGCCAAGAAAATATTCCATTAACATTGGATTCTACAATAACGCTACTGTTTTAAAATCTAAAAGAACATCATCAAACCCACTTTTTTCACAGACTGAGGACGTCAGTGTTGATCTGTAAAAGCAGTTGAACAACCCCGCTTTAAAGAATGTGAAGAATTTAAAGAAAAGATGTCCAACTGTTCAACCTTATCCTTGTCTGAACCATGGTGCCCAGATGTTTGAGACCACAGCACAGGGGCTATTCACTGCTGAGTGAGGTCCTTACCATGTCAGGCGACTACACACATCCTCTGAGACAGACGACACACTGTCAGGTTTGAAAACCAGGACTCAGCGAACAATGGCTACACTTCTAGGGAAGCAGAGCGTCTTAATTGCCGTGCTCTGGTCCCTTTAATATCCGTGGAGCATCACAACAAAAAGCTGTGAACAACTCATTTTACAGCTGTCAATTCTTCCTGGACTGTGAATTCCTCATCACATCAAAGGAGGCCCCTTCAGCTGGCACGCCATCTGGCTGTGTGGTTGAGAGCAGATAACACAAACCAGTCTGTGGCCACTGGTTAACCATACATTCACCCAGCAGCATTTTTTTTCTCTTTTCTTCAGCAGGCTATAGATGTGCAGAAGAGGGTGAATGAATGTGATTTTTTCATTTTCAGGAGCTGGTGGTGATGGGGGCACCGGGGTCGTACTACTGGACTGGGACGATCAAGGTGTACAACCTGACGTCTGACTCTTTCTACAGCCCGAACAAAGAAGACGTTGACTCCCACAGATACAGCTACCTTGGTAAGAGCTTGTTAATGAGGGTTATTGTGTTGAATGTTAAAAATACAAGTGAAAATGTGCTGCAACGGATGATTGTTTCCAGGCTACGCTGTGACTGCTGGACACTTCTCCTCTCCTAATGTAATAGACATCGCTGCAGGGGCGCCTCAGCACAGCGGCAGTGGAAAAGTAGGCACTTCTTCTTCTGTCTTATTTCCAGCTGTTTGAATTTAAGTCATCTCGTGTTGCTTGCTACACTGATTTGCTTTTCTCCCGCACAGGTTTACATTTTCAAAATCGACGGTGGGTCTTTGGTGAAGAGCTTTCAAGCCTCAGGGAAAATGGTATGAGCCCGGATGTGGTATTCTTCCAGTGGTCTCTGGCAGTCCTGTTTTTAATCATTGAATTACATATAATGCTTTGAGGCCATTGTTATACTATTCAACCATATTTGATTTAACCTGATCTGCCTCAGAGATTGTTGTGATTTGTTGCAACCGGCTACTCTGATTGCTTTGTTGTCAGAACTACACTGTTTATGTCTGCCTGAAGTGTTTAGACAGCAACAGAGATTTAAAGAAGGAACACGCTTGCCAGAAAGCAAAGCCAGGGAGGTAGCTAATGCTTTCCATTCAGAGTAAACAAAAGGAAGTCAGGGTGGCTTTAATGCTGGTATAGATATATATAAAAGGGGAGGTGAATCCAGTCAGAGCGTGAATCGTATGTCAATGGTATGAACTGAAGGAGTGTCTGTGATCTGACCCATTGCTCTGTGGCTCGGCTTGGTTCCAGATGGGCTCTTACTTTGGCTCCTCATTGTGTGCAGTTGATCTGAACCAGGACGGCTTGTCGGACCTGCTGGTGGGGGCACCCATGCACAGCCAGCTCCGGGATGAGGGCCAGGTGTCTGTGTACCTCAGCAAGGGCAATGTGAGTGGGATTCGTGGTTCAGCAGGAACCATAACCTGCTGATTTATTTTACTCCAGTGTGTCCACTATCTCTGAACATTTCCATACTGTTGTTATTGTCTGTAGTGTCAATTTTTAGATTTGCTCATGTTTGATTTCTTTCTGACCATGTTTATTGTCATGAAATTTGAAAAAGAAAACAGTGGAGCAGTGTGAAGCTCGGCTGTGAAATAATTTAACCGACCAAGACTAGGACCTCTGTTTGTACGTTTTGTATTTATGAGTTACTGCGGGGAAGTTGACTGTTTGGTTGTTAAATTGTTTTGGATAAAAGCCAACTAACTGCAGTCGTGGCCAAAGAATTTTATCGGAGCGCTGCAATAATTTCACTGCAGCAGTCTACGGTAGGACATCTCTTTACTGACGTTATCTTGCCTGCTTCTGTTTTCAGGGGGTGATGGAGGAAGAAGGAGTTTTGAGTGGTGACAATGCTTTCAATGCACACTTTGGAGAATGCATTACCGCAATCGGAGACATAGATGATGATGGATATCAAGGTCAGTACAGTAATAACAGAGTAGTGGTAACATTTCGAAACTGCATGCATGAATCCATAAAGATGTTTTATTACAAACAGTGTCCACTTACTTGCTGGTTTTACCGCTGTATAAATAGTCGCTGTAAATAGTAATTCAATAACACAACCTGAGAAGTTGAACTGAAAGGCATCTGAAACTTGTGACAAGAGGTCACAAGGCACTGGTTTCCGTTCAGGGGTCAAAAACCATAAAAGGTTGGGAACCACTAACATACTAGGACCACACTGGATGTGTAACGTGTTTCAGTCCATTAAACATAATTAACTTGTGTTGTACAGTTGTCTTGACCATTTTTACAACCATGCCACAACTTCTTAATTTGCATGGCAGCCACTGTTTTTAATTTAGTTCACTGTGATGTGAAACTTGCAGCAACTTGCAGTAAAACCTGCTTGACGTAGTATCCACTTGTTATATTGTTATTTTTGAAGTTAAATTGTTTTTGTGTATAGTGATACATTAAGAGAAGAGTCTTTAAAATGATCCTTATGAATCAGCTTCTGCAATGCAAACCAAAACAAAACATATTCATTTCCTCTTGTGCCTCAGATGCCAGAGAGTCCTGAAATGCAACAAAAAGGAGGTCTTTAAATTCCAACGTACTGGTATTGTCCTTTAACCACTTAACTATCTCTGTGCATATAAACCGTTTGCAACACTGGAGCCCCTAGTGAGCGGTCATAACCCATATGGGGGTCTTGTAATGGTCCACAAGTGGTCAATCATCTAAAATCCAAGCAATGGCAAACCCTTTAAATAGCATTCATTGCTCTTAGAGTGACATTTTGCTTTAGTCATGAAACAAAACTTTCCTCTGTCATCTGGTGAGTAATAAATTCACACAGTTTATGCTCCCCACATCAGCCCACAAGCAATCGTTGGCTGTTTGAGAGTCTCAGTAGGTGCAACAAAAGCCGTCATTTTCACAGACGCTCTGTTTTCATTACCCTGCGGCGAGAGGGCTCTTTAGAAAGTATTGCCTTCTCTCACCCTCGTGTGCATCGTGTGTCATCCAGATGCAAACTAAATTATCCACACACACACACAGACATTTACACTGTCTGTTTTCCTGGCACTCGCATTGGCTTGGCTTTGAGAGCTCGACTTGGCGTCCATCTCCCACTCGAGGCCGGGAGCTGCTGCCTGGATTCATCTCCGTGCAAGATACGCCTCGAGGCTTGCAGCCTGGCACAACGTCTCTATTTGTGTGTGTGCGCGTGTGTGTGTGCAGAGAAAGATGGCAGCTGGGAATCATAACTCATCCTGTAACTCGTCGCTGTTTGAGTGACGAAAGAGCCAGACTTGCTCGCCGACTGACAATCTATTATTTACAACCTAACTGCTACTATTTCATTTGAAAGAACTACTGTAGAAATCAGAATACACACAAGAAAACATTACTTGTTTAATTCTACCTCTACATAATGAGTTAATCATTGTGAGATATTTACAACAACAACAAAAAAAGAGTGCCATTTGTTTACCATTTCTGCTTTGGTATGCTGCACCACATGGCCTGGAAGTGTTTTGGCCTATAAAAAGAAAGTTTATATGTGGAGTTTCTGTGCAAATGGGATAAGGAGACATTGTTTCAGTGCTCTTGCCAGCACTTTATAGGCTTGTTTCCACTCTCTCAATGGTCGCACAAGTCTTTATGGCCACTAACAACACTTAACTGTCTATTAAGGCTCTTACTGTAACAGCTTGTTTCCCAGAGTTAATGAAAGCTTCTGTACACATTCACAAACACACACAGTCACATACATGCTCATTCATTTCTCTGCCATCTTTTCACAGAAACACTTTTGTCCTCTATTTGTCTCCTCAGATGTAGCCATAGGAGCCCCTAAAGAGGATGACTATGGAGGAGCCGTTTATATCTACCATGGGGATGCCACAGGAATCATCAGCAAATACTCCATGGTATGGCATGTCACATGACATGCCAATATCATGTAGATTGTTTTATCGAACTAAGCAAAGGATTACATTTTGATTATCTTTCCCCTCATTTCTAGCAGTTCCACTAAAGTTTCACCTGCAAATGTTACATTTTGATGAAACCCATGCGTTCACCTTGTGTATCGAGCTGTTGAAATAGCGGATTGTGGTCAAGTCGCAGGTGGTGATGTTGCCTCGGGAATCCCCACATAGCTCTGAATGAAGAGCAGGCCACTCTTCGTGGGCTTCTTTTTTATCAGGGACTACAAAGTATTTAAATCTTGAAATTCACCTGTTTAGCCGCCACATCATCACTACTGAGCTGTTTTGAAGTATAGAGCGAGAACCTGGAGGCGACTAGCTTAGCTTGGCATAAAGATTGAGTGAAACAGCAATCCACCTGCCAGCATCTCCAGGGCTCGCTAATTAACACAATTTATCTTGTTTCAATAAACTTGCGTTAAAAGGACTAGATGCAGTCTGACAATGAACTGAGAAAATGAAACGCAGAGCAAAAACAAATCATGCAATGTTCTCTTTTGTCCATGTTGGCTCACATGTATAACTTGAGGGCCGGTATCATCTGTTACAGAAAGTGTCTGGGCGCAGTGTAAACCCTGGTCTGCAGATGTTTGGCCAGTCAATCTCCGGCAATGTGGACATGGATAGCAATGGATATGCAGGTAAGGTCGAACCAGAATAGATGAAGGCTTAACCACATCAGGGAGATGAAAACATCAAATAGGAAAGGATGACAGTATGAAATATTTGTTTCTGACTCTCATGCTGATTGTGCAAAGCAGTGCACAGACTCGTGATAGAGGGATCGTGTTTACTGCATTCCACAGCTGACATTCAGACTTAGCCAGCATGACAGTTAAAGACCTCTGTGCATTGTTTGGGATTTGCAGGTGTAATGAGTGCTGTCAGCAGATGTTGCATTCCCATCATATCCTCTTTATGGCTTTCCAAATCAACCCTGTTTATGTTTTTGTTGCAGATGTCACTATTGGAGCCTTCATGTCAGATAGTGTGGTCCTGCTGAGGTGAGAAACCGGATCGGTGACACTGCACTATTTCTTTCTACTTCTCAGTGGTATTAATGTCCAGCCTTTCCCACGCTGTGTTCTTGTGTCGGTCAATGTGGTTGTAGAACTCGGCCTGTCATTACGGTGGATGTGTCCATCTTCCTGCCCGTCTCCATCAACATCTCTGTGCCGCAGTGCCACGAGGGCCAGCAGAACCTGAACTGCTTCAACGTAACCATCTGCATGCGCTTCAGGGGAAGACAGCTGCCAGGACAGATAGGTGAGGACAAATCCTGACAGCAAAGAGGACAAAGAGAAACCTCACCAAAGTTGAAGTCCACTCTGAAAGCGACACTGAACTGCCTGTGACTGGTATTACTTGCGCAGTCCCCACTGGAACAAAAACACATTTCCACAACACCGAATAGTAAGCAAGCTACGTAGATAATTGCTAAAAACAACAAAGTTCATCTACCACAGATTTGCAGAATTCAGAGTACTTGAATCATAGTTTAGTTTTTGTGGCTTAAAGGAGTAGTTCAATATATTGGAACATTTTCATATTCGTTTTCTTGCAGAGAGCTGCAATATTAATACCACTGGTATCTGTGTGCTGTAAGTTGGAGCGAGGGCCAGGAGGAGGCAATCACCTAAGCCTAGTATAAAGACTTGAAACAGGGGAAACAGCTAGCCTGGCTCCCTCCAAAGTGAAAAAAGCTCCTACCAACACCTCTAAAACTAATAATGAATACGTAATATCTCATGTGTTTAATCTGTACAACCAGTAATGTAAAAACAACAAGCTATGGTTTTACTGTGAGTTAAGCGCTATATTTCTTGTCGTCCAGCGCACTGTGACTTTCTTGAGTCTTGACGTTGCTGTGAATTTTGAAAATGAATCTCAAAAGCCATAAATCTCAGTCATCATGTGTCACTCACTGGTGTTGATCATATTTACAGTATATTTTAGTCATTTAGTGTTGTGAGGAAGTGAAATTCATACTGCTTGAACTCATGGAGGTCATCTAAATGGGGAGAATTTGTAAACATGCTCATGCTGAGTAATTCTCCCCGTGCTCGGAGACGGTCGGTGTGGTTAGCCTTTGGCCTGTGAGGGCGTTTGGCCAATGGTTTACAACTCCATCCTTTGCTAAGTCGAGAGCTGAGGTGCAGTCCTGTTCCAGTGTTTGGGTGTGGTCATTCACAAACCCCCAGGGGAGCAGGAGCCCTGTCGTTAAATAATGACTGCGTCCTGGCTCGCAGCAATAAAGCCTCTCTGTTTAGGCGTCTGGCAAACGCCATGGAAAGTGTAGCACTATGTGTTTGGTGACTCCCTTTAATGAAACCTTCCTTTGCCTCCTCTGGAGTGAGCTCATGGCGTTCCTCTGTTGGATGCAGGAAACAGTAGGCTTTGGTCCGACGAGGGTGTGTTTGCCACCCTTCTCACTGTTTTTACCAGAATGACACCCTCTTAAAGCAATTACTCCAGACTGAGGGCTGATTCATTCAGAGGAATGGGTTCTTAAATGGCCAGAGGCCCATATATGGTCTTCTCGGAAATGTTGTTTATGTTTGCTTCAGGTTTATGATTTCTCAATTCAAAAACTTCAAGATTTGAAGTTGTTGTGTGTCTCAATGTCACTAAGACCAGGGGTGGAACCAGCAGGAATGTTGTTATTGAATGTTGTCTTTCACAGTAATGCTGCTTCTGCCCCACCAGCTGGAAAATTACATCCTGTTTTTGTTGTTAATATTTGTTAATTGTTAAATATCGGCACACAAACCTCGTTTTTATTGTATAAATTCAGTTTTAGCTGACATGAATAAGTTGGTTAACGTCTTTGCTGGCTTGTGGATGAACGATAAATTCTCCGTCTAGTTTCAAGATGAAATTGAAATTATTCATTGTTCAAAGCCATTGCTTTTCATTCAGTTTTTCATCGTAGTAGCACACCTATATATATGTTCCCATCTTCCCTCTGACTCACAAAAATGTTGCTGCAATATGCGCTAATTTATTTCTCCCCATGTTTTGCTGGCAGTTAGCAGAAAACCAAACCCTGCATACTTGAAGTGTTTTTCAAGATTATCTTTACTCAAAGAACCGTCGCTGTCAGTTGACGTTATGTGTAACAGTGCTGTCGTCTCTTCACAGAGTTGATGTATAACTTGACAGCTGATGTGGATAAGCGACAGAAGAGCCAGCCTTCCCGGGTCTACTTCACTCAAAGCGGATCTCAGATCAGCCAGATGAGCCAGCAGATCAGCTTGGACATCAACAGGGAGGAGTGCCAGCGCTACACCGCCTACGTTAAGGTAAGGTCGGATTGTCTGGTCTTAGCGCTGGCTGTGTTTGTGTTGGGTTGTCCATGTGCGGCTCATGTCCTCAGCTGAACTCTCCGCTGCTTTCACATAACATTGGGCGCTCTCACCCTGCAATGTTGATGTGTGTTATGAGTTATTTGCTTATGTGGTTTGTTTTTCTTTCTTTCTTATCTGTTTTTTTTGGCTTTTGGTGGGAGCATCAAAGTCTGTATGTTTCCAGTTAAAGTGTTTAGACAGATCAAAACAAGAGGAAAATTAAGATGTCAAGATACTGTTAGGTCCATCACATGATCTTATAGTGTTGTAGGAGCAGCGGCTGCTGCAGCTGAAGGCTACGGATCAGCAGGCATCTGCTGGGTTAGGTTAAAGGTAACAGCCAGGCTCTTGATGGTTCGTGAAACCATGCTGCTCAAGTGTGCGTCCGCAGAAACTGACAGAAACAGGAAACAGAGTCTCCTTTGTCATCGCATAGTCCCTCTATTGTGTCCCTCTGTGATTTACTCGTGTAGCCTCAGAGAGGGTCCTCGTCCTGAGGGCACCATCCATGTTTCACCTCCTCTAATGCGGAGGCCCACTGCAGGCCTGTCAATTTCACTGGCATTCTTCACTCTGCTCTCCAAGTGCTTTCACCGTGGGAGGCTGAGCTGCCGACTGAGGGGGGCTGTCATTACCACGCCTGCCTCTCTTAACTTCAACCCCTTCAGACTGTAATGAGCGTATATCACACAGCAGATGCAGCAATAAGCTCACTTTATTCATCACAACATGCGCATCACACTTATCAAGGTTTATTCAGTGACGTCTGTCACGTCTTTATTTAGGCTCTTTAGTAAAACCCGGATAGAAGAATTCAAATTTAATATTCACTTCTCTGTCTTAGTTTCAACACATAAGAGTAGGGTAAGTAGGGTGTTTCTTCCCCAAGTAAATCAGACATTTCAACACTTGTACCAAACTTCTTTGTGTGGGCGGGCGAGTGAATTATCACTCAGTCGAAGCTCGTCGCTGCCACATGTCCATAGCATCTCTCTGGCTGTGAGATAAACATACTTATACTTTAAGTGCCATCCATCAGGCCAGATGTTACATCAGGGGAGAGCCGTATTTTGCAGCTTTAGGCCCCAATGTTGCTTGATGAAATAACACTTTGATGTTGTTAAAGGTATAGTTCTTTTTCGGGAAATTTTGGGAAACATTTTTGCAGATTTATGAGGGATCATGTGCCGACATTTTTCCATTGCCAAACGCAGTAACTTATTTAAGTATTCAACTTGTTGTTTTTAGGTTTCAGTTTTTGTACGAAACAGCAGTAGCAGTTGTTCCCCTCTGTTTCCAGCGGTTATGCTAAGCTAAGTTTACTGTCTCCTGGCTCCAGCTTATTAAAGGATATAAGAATTGTTTAACTATTAACACATATTTCAGTTTACAGATGACGCAGATAACATTACATCTTTCGTCTGTGGGAGTATTTGGATTGGCTTGACTGAGGTGTGAAGTGCAGCATGGTTGCACTCTAGCTGTGTGGATTGTCGTTTTCTTCTCCATATGTAACAACAAATTCCACCTGCTCAGCAGCTAAAAGAAGAGGTGAGATTCCCAAAGTTACCATAAGCTGAAAAGCCACACAGGACGGTAAAGGCGTGGTGCCCAAATTACCACTTTGCCAAACTGTTTACAGGCTGAATGACCTTAGATATGTATGAAAGGGGGCAAAGATTACGACCTAGCAAGATAAGTGTCTGCCATGAGTCCTCATCATCATAAAGTATGTGGTTTTTATTGCAGAGAAGAGCTAAAGAATCACCATAATCAGACGTGATCTGGCTCCACTCTGAGATGAGTAAAGTCTCCATGCCCAATCGCATCATTTATCTTCCTCATGTGTCTGCCCACATGAGCCAGTCCTCCCATTCCCCAGAAGAGGTATGCTAATGCAAACCAGCTGGTTGCCTGACTGCATCCTTAAGGGTGGGTGGGGGGGTGGGGGTGGGGATTGTGCACCCCCCTGCCCCACCCTTCCCTCAGCTAAAACACAGCAGGGTGCTGGGCTGCTGTTGTGTCAACAGGAGCTGTGTGCTGGCGCTGCTGATGGAAAACCCTCACGTCAGAGTTGATTGCTCAACCCCTGATGCATGAGGGCCGGTGGAAGCGGGCCATGAGCTATTCTGAGCCACTCTCCCGTTTGAAACTACGCTGACCATCTGTAGACCCCATTTGTTGACTTTACGAATTATTCAAACACTTTAAAAGGACCTCAGTTAACAGCTTAAATTAATAAGGCAGTGTTAAAGTTGGATTTGTTCTGATTACTGTACTGTACAGGCAGCAACGGGACTGGAACAGACAATTTTCACCATCTGAAATCTAGTAAAAAAAGCTTGACAAGACCGGTAAATCATGTAGTGTTGAGAACACAAGGGCATAGTTGGAGTTATTCAGAGAGCACAGAGTACAGAAGCTAATAATATAGTCCCTTACTTTTTTTTCAAGAGTAATTCCTCCTGAAATTATCCAAGTCTTTTCTAGTTGATCATTTTAAACATGTTTTCATTGGCATGGGCTAACAGCATACCAGTCCTCCAGATGGTCTTTGTTTGGTTATTTTTAGCTAAATAAACCCCATGCAGGCCTTTCCTTCAGTTGTACCTCACATTGAGGAAGGACAAACAGTTCCTCATAGTGATGACTGATGAATGATTAGGGTTCAGATGACCAGAGGTGCTGTGTGCGTGAGACGGCAATGAGTCGTTTAATAAGAGAGCCACTGACTTTAAGCGGGAATTCTTCAGTTTGATGTGTTGCATTTAGTCATTTTGTACAATTGGCATGTTTCCCTTCTGCAGTACGGTAGTGTCACCAGGGAAGACATTTTAGTTTTCGGAATCTACAGCCTCGCTAGCGACTCAGTTTGCACTAAACACGACATACAGCTGCGGCAAATGGGAATGCCATTAGTTTTGCAGGTATTTCGTCATAAACTAAACTATTAAAAGGTTAAAGGATCACCAAAGTCGGTTCAATTCATCCTGATGGAGACTCGAATGGCTACGCCATATATCATGACAGTTCACCCGATAGCTGTAGAGATGAAAAATGTCAACCTCAAGGTGGAGCTAAAGGAAACGTGAGGGTATCACCAAAGTCATTAGGATACATCATCTGGGAACCATGAATGTCTGTACAAAATTTAAAGGCAATTCTTCCAAAATGTGTTGATATATTTCAGTCTGGACTGAAGTGCTGGACATTGATATGGCCATAGAGCCAGGATGCCAGCATGGCTGAACAAAACAAACTAAAAATGTTATGACAAAATAGATCAGATCATGTTCTGTACTTTGTTTGTGCATGTATGCACGCTATATTTTAAATGAAGGACATCAGTGTCTGTAGATTTAAAATACTACAGGTATAATGTCAACATTACATTGTGACATACGTCTTACTATAAACTATAAAGCATTCATTATTTATAGTATCAAGTACTATTTGGTTGGAGGCTGGCTGTTACTGCTCACTTGGCTTTGGTGTATTGCTTGTCTTATAAACACATTTAATAATAAACACGTTTGTTTGTTAGATGTCCTGCACTTCTTTTGCGATCTACTCATCTCATGGCACGTTTACGTCTCGTGAGAGTTTACCTATCGTCAAGTACATGTTTTTACTCCAGCAGTCCAATCACAGCGCAGTGCACGTGAGCCTTGAAATCATGCCAGGAGCCAATTCTATTTGTGGTCATGAGTGGTGTTGTGTAGCTCTGGAGAAGCATCGCAGTCTCCAAGGAGGAGCTAAAACAGGCATTTAAAGCCCAGCCTGTAACAGTTGTCTGTTTAATTTAGCTTTCCCCACCTCTTTCCTCTGGCCTACATCCCACTGTATCTCATGTCCCCATTACATTAGCTTGGCACCACCGGAGTATTTAAAGGTCCACCATACTTTACTCTGTTGAGTGCTGCTGTTAGTGGGGCAACTGCAGGATGAACATCTATCTGTCAAAGCTAAATGCACTGAAGCCCTCACAAGTCTCTTATGACTGAACGGAAAAACTAGATACATGTTGGATTTGAGCAGTACAATGCAGGAGATTATCAGACTGGCTAGATGAGCTGATGGATGATGGTCTATGAAGTTACAGAATCAACCAGCTTGTCAGAATTATTACCTCTGCAAATGCAATTGAAAGGAGCTAATGTTTTAACCTGCCTGTGTGTCTGCTTGTTAGCATCAAAAAGCGCCTCATTCATATCTCATATGGCTAAATTTGATGGACAGATCCATCGCTGACATGCTATATTCTGTTAGAAAACAAAGCCAAGAAGACAACAACTAACATATACTGCAGCTTTACAAGCTAAATAATATGTCAACGATTGTATTCTATTGATGTATGCATCGTAAGCTCTACTTGTATGTAGTTGTACCATATAACAAGCTGCCTATATCCACAAATGACTGACTTGTGAAATTTGGCTCTAGCAAATGATAAAGTCAAAATAGTTGAACAAAAATAATTTGTCAATTCATTGATGTAGTTAATCCTTAAAAATGTCTGCATGTTTTCTTGGTCTTCTTCGACAGTAAACAGAATATATTTGGGTTTTGGGCTGTTGGTCAGTCAGAAGAAGAGATTTAAATATGTCAACTTGGATTTTGGAACAATGGGGGGGGGGAAAAACCTAATTTCAAGCCTCATAACATTGAAGTGTTATCTTAACTTTCTTTAACTTCATGGATATAGTGCCGGACATGAAGTGTAGTTTTCAAGACTTGAATTTGGCTCCCACAAAAGTAACTGGCAGACAGTGTACTACCCTGTTCTGTGATTGGCCACTTACCTGACAGTATTTGTACTACATTACGCAGTGAAATCCACTAATCTGTTCCCTCCAAAGACGTCAAAACAAATGTGAAAAATGATTTACGCTTACTGTTTGACCTAAGTCTGTTCTGCATAGACAAACAGGACACCCTGGAGAGTAAAGCAAAGC